TATAAATACCCTTTGCCTCCTAGTTATTTCCTCTATTTCCTTTTACTTTCCTCTTGTCCCACTATCATGTTCAGCCTTCATTAGGGTTTCAGTAATTCCTCTCTGTTACATTACCCTTGGTTTCGCTCTACCAGGCCTCCTACACCCTCCTCACCACCAATTTGGATCACTTCTTGTTCCCTGGTCCCTGGGTTTGTTAACACCACTTCCTTTCCCTCACCTCTCCCTCTCCCATGTCCCCCCAGAACTGTGGGTCCCATTGTTATCTTCTCCTGATTGTTCATCCAGCCCATCTTATCTAGACAGACCTGCGGAGATAATAACATGCACAAAAACAAGACAGAGAAAAACAAAGCAACAAAAGAAAAGAAAACAGCAAGAAACCAATGACAAAAAAAGGAAAGAAAAGAAAAGAAAAACCTGTAAATAGTTTAGGTCTTCTTGTTCACCTTTAGGAGTGTTTTCTGGTCGAGTCTGATGGGGTGCCACACCCTGGCCCCAAAGTCTATTTTTAGTACTCCCTTGGGACTTCCATGCTCTGCTCCCCTTGCTGTTCTGTTGCTTGCCCTTAGTGTTTTGCCTCAGTGCGATGGGGTCAGATTGGTTGCAATTCTCACACTGTGTCTCCAGTGTTGTCCCCTGTAAGGCTATGGGTCAGCAAGGGATGGATGTTGTGTCTCATAGTGGGGCCAGCCATATCCTCTCTGTGCATTGGCTGCTCTGAGCAGGGATATTGTTCTCAAGGCTTGGTGAGCCAGGATGTGCTCCACTCTCTCCTCCTCCCCCTTTATTTCCCCCTGTGTGCTCTGATCAGACATGTCCATCTCCTTGAGCTATAACTCCAGTGCTGTCCTCTGAAGTAAATTTTTCTGGGGAGAGAGGCACCTGTCCACATCGTTTGAATTGGCCCCGGCCCCTCAGACCTCTCCACTGGTTCCCTGCTTTATGCCGGTATGTTGCATTCACAACTTGGAGCAATGGGTTCAAGTCTGGTCCCTCTTGCTCTGTGGAGTTATAAACAATACCCTCCCCGTGGGTGG